TCCTGCCAAGTGATACCAAAAATGCATCGGAGGCAACGCATATGGAACGTGTTCAGCTTCCTCTCCTGCCATGCACAAAGAGTCCAGGACTCACTGCAGTGTAGGAGCGTGCTCAGGACACAGGCTCTATAGACCTGGATCTTGGTATATGTCGTCAGCTTCTTATTGAGCCATACTCTCTTTGTGAGTCTTGAGAACATGGTAGCTGCTTTCCTGATGCGTTTATCCAGCTCAACATCTAGAGAGAGGGTGTCAGAGATGGTTGAGCCAAGTTACACGAAATCATGAACAACCTCCAATTCTTGTGTGGAGATGGTAGTAGAGGGAGGTGAGTCCACGCCCTGGCCCATGACTTGTGTTTTCTTCAGGCTGATTGTTAGTCCAAAGTCTTGGCAGGCCTTGCTAATTACTGTAGACATTATTAAGTTGTAAGTCTTGGTGTGCGGATAGTAGTTTTCAGACTTTTGTGTCTATGATGAGTTGTTAACTTGGGGCAGTTCACCTCCAAATGTTACCATTTGCATAGCCTTTGCAGGAGAATTTATCCAGTATGTTTAGTAGTTGTTATTTTGTTTAATTTTAGTTTGTTTTTTAAAGTGTAGCTGTTTTCTGGGAGGAAAGCCATTCATTGAATTGTTCAGTTCTATACAAATTTTGTCTAACCTTGTTAAAAGTTATAATTTAATGAAATATATTTAAATGTTAATTTCATTAGTTTGCACTCCGTTTATATTTGTGAATATATCAAACATGTACATTTAATGAATGGTTCAATCATTTAATGAATGCTTCAGTCAATGCTTTACCAGCATATATATTACATATTGTACCTCACACTATTTCAGCCTGCTTCTGTACAGTATACTGTACATACATGGACCAGAATTCTTTTAACAAAGCCTGCATTTTCAAGGGCAGTTTTGCAGCAGCCCCCCTTCCATTTGGTTGTTCTTACAATCAGTTGTGTGACAGGTCATTTCCCCTGTTTCAGAACCAGTTTGCAACCAGTCACATAGGCTGGTCAGAAGAGGGGAAACACTTATGCATCTCACTTCCCCACTTGTATAAATGAACAGGATTCTGGCCATTGTTTTCTACCTTTCTCGTATGTATTTGCTGGTTAGAAGCAATCCTTGTTTAAAGGACTTGGATTTAAGAGACAAATTTACTTGGAATATGGGAGAGTTGCTAGGCAGGATAGCAAATACTCATTGCACTTTTCAAAGGAATTTTCTCAAAGGCAAATTCAAAGTTCTTGTGCTTATCTTCAAGTCTTTTATAGCCTGGGATTTGTGTATCACCATAGTAATAATGGTCAGTATGTTTGGGATTGCGCCAAGTTGCCTTCATGATCTGTGGAAGAAGAGCAGTGGTGAGAAACAGGGCCATCATTGCTGGTGCCCTGGGACTCTACAATACTCCGATTGGTGAGGTCCAGAAATAACTCCTATTCTTTCTTTCCAGAGAGTATGCAAAAAACATTTCTCTCCTGGAGGGCATTCGGTAGTACGACTCGTACTATTGGGTGATGGGTTTTGGTGTGTGTTTTTTGTATAAAAATAGGTTTTAAATGGTTCCCTGGTTTTCTTTTAAATAAAATTGAAACTAATAGTAAAAGAAGCTACTGTGAGCAGAAGAACAAGAGGAAGTTATTTTAATTTAAAAATACATGTTCAAAGTAATATGTTTTGGTTTTGTTTAGAGAAAAGTAGATATATCTTGGAACATAGCAGTGCACCTGGATTGTGCTTGTAGAGCAGGGATGAGGCATATGTGAGCCTTCAGATGTTAACTGGGTTAAAACCCCCATCATCCCTCTATATTGGCTGTACTGACTGAGATAGATGGGATATGTTGTCCAACAAAATCTGCAAGGCCTCATGGTTCCCAGCCCTTGAACTTCATAAGAAATTCTGTCTCTAGCTCTCTCTCTCTCTTTTTTTCTTACTTTAGGTCAGCCTTACAACCAGCTGGCTATTTTAGCATCCTCCAAAGGAGACCACCTGACCACAATTTTCTACTACTGCAGAAGCATTGCTGTGAAGTTCCCTTTCCCAGCAGCCTCTACTAATCTACAAAAAGCACTTTCTAAAGCACTGGAAAGGTGAGATGAATACTATCTGAATATTAATAAGATTTAGGGTAGCAGTTGGGGTAAGATTATAGATGTTTCTTCCACAAGACATACATAGCTGCCTCTTTGCATTAGTGCTTCTCAAATACATGAATTACAGGCAAGGTTCCCTCTAAACTAGGCAGGCATGTGCGACTCCCCCTCCCTCTGCACAGCTCTCTTCCTCCTCTGCGCAGTGATCTTGTTACACCCCTTTGGTTCTGGTTGCAGCAGAACCCTTTGTGCAGGGGGGTGGAGTCATGTGTGCATGCATGAGGGACTGAAAATTAGAGGGTTCATTGGTTACAGGTAAATAGTTTTGCTTCCCTTGTGTCTTTTTAATCGTCTATACCACTGGTTCTTAACCTTGAGTTACTCAGCAGTTTTGGACTGCAAACTCCCAGAAGCCTTCACCACCAGCTGTGCTGACTGGGGTTTCTGGGAGTTGCAGTTCAAAAGCATCCGAGTAACAAAGGTTGAGAACCACTGGTCTATACCATTGGTTCTCAGCCTTGTGTCCCCAGATGTCCTTAGACTAAAACTTACAGAACCCTTCAACTCTAGCTGTGCTGGCCAGGGTTTCTTGTAATCCAAGAACATCTAGGAACCCAAGGTTTAGATGAAGCACCTCAATTTTTATTCTGCCAAGTGATTGGAAATTAGCTATTTATATGAGAAGTGTCATTGTTTTTCATTTAACTAACTTATCAGTCAGTATATTTCATGGGGAACTTGGCAGATATGTGTAGATATACATATATTTTGCTATTACTTACCATATGATTGTGTGCAAACAAATGGGGTCAGGATAAGAGAACATTGGCTTCCACTCCAGTTATTTTCTTTTGTTATAATCTAGAATGGGAATGGTCATCTGGTGATCTATGGGGTATGCAGTTCCTAAAGCAACTGTTTCTTCCCCAGCAGTCTTGCTAAAAAGCTTTTTAAGTTGAAGAAATAGAAATTCTGCACTATTGTGATAGTTTTAAAAATGTGTGTTAAATGCAAATGTACTTTTTTTGTAAATGTGCAGCTGTGAAATACTTTCTGTTTGATAGAGCCAATGTTTATTCTTATGGATTGTTTATTTATTATTTATTTATTTGATTTATATCCCGTCCATCTGGTATATCATACCACTCTGGGCGGCTATACATATCATACTCTGAGGTTAAATTAATTGCTTGACACTAATATATGGAAATGATTATTTTTTAATTTTCAGGATGCTAAATATGAATATTGAAATTATTTCATTGCAATAAATTTGTGAAAAGCTGTCAGTCACAACAATTGTAATTTTCTTTAATATTGCCAGCAGTATATTTTCATGCAATAAAAAGAACATTTTCCTGTCTCATATATGTATTTACAAAGACTGAAATACAAATTTTTGTCTTAATTGCAGTCGTGATGAGGTGAAGACTCAGTGGGGGGTGTCTGATTTCATTAAGGCTTTTATAAAATTCCATGGCCATGTGTATCTTAGTAAGAACTTGGAGAAACTGAATCCTCTTCGTGAGAAATTAGAAGAGCAGTTTAAGGTTGGTTTCCCTGTTTTTCCTGTTGAATGAACATCTGTGTCAGAACGGATAGACTCCTTTCGTCTACCTGTGTCTCTCCCCCTCTCCCCCTCTCCCCCCACCACCATATTCCTTGTTTTACTGAAGTGGTGTTGATAATGGACATGGAGGATAGTATTCTTCATAGTACCACATGTCTTGTGAAATACTCGAAACAGGGAAATCCAGTGAAAGAAATTTCTGATTTGCTTCATCTAATAAAGATCCATTTTTTCCTGCTAGCTTTCCAAATAATTGGTAGAACTGAAATTGCACTGTTGTTCACTCTGACTTCCTTGTTACTATTTTTAAATTTGTTTTAGAATGCATAGGTTTTACTTTGCTGAAGTGACGGCAGCCACCTTGATTAGCAGTCTTCTATAAGAAATTGCTTTTAGTACATTTTAAAAAATTCAAGGTAAACATGAAGCACACAAGCCAAAGTAGAAGGTGTGTGTGTTTTAAATAAAATGTGGGAATGAGTACTGTACTGGTATTAAGGCTTTGTGATGATTTTAATGAAGTTGGCCTAAGCTTACTGAAGGAAATATTGAGATATAAATTAGATAAATAAAATCACATTGGCCTATACTGAATTCTTGATCTTAATGCTGTAATATTGTAACAGTGTTCTGTTCAACCTGAATTAGAGATTTAGGAAGAGTATCTCACAATACTGAATACCCAGTGTGGTGTGATGGATAGAGTGAGGGACTAGAACTCTGGAGTCCAAGGTTCAAATCCCTGTTCAGTCATGGAAAGTTACTAGAGGAGTGAAACTGTTAAAATCATTCCTTAAATATCTCACTTATTTTGAAAGCCATATTAAGTTTGCTATAAATCAGTTCTGACTTGATGACTCAGCTACAACAGACTGCAATATTACTGTACCCCAGTACACAGAAGAGAACTTTGCATGTGTAGGACATCTGTCTTGGCACAAACACTGGTTGTTTTGGACCCAAGGCTATGACACACCAGTGAAGAGAAATGGCTAGAAAACTTTATTAAAAGATCCGGTAAAGAGAGATGCCACAGTAAATTAAGTATACAGTAATAGTACGGAAAGCACTCTAATGCAAAAGGATAGAAGAAAGCAAAGGTACAACCTAAAACCTCTTCTGCCCCTAGGAGCCCCTGGAAACAGTGATGGGATGGTTCCATTCTAAGTCCCCGCATCCCATGGCCACATACACTGAATGCCACCTTCTGAACTGGCCTATGCTGAAGCTCAGTAGTGTCCCCAAATCCTGGCCCTTTTCTATTTGTAAGGAAGCTAATGACTGTATTCTGATTATAATCACAATATGTTCCTTCTTTTAATTAGCAAAGTGTTTAAAGAGTAAATCCATAACTGTGATTTACTCTTTGCTGATTGGCAAATAGATAATATTTGTGTTCTCAAGGAACTAGGTTAATAATGAGCAAATTGGTAACATGTTGAGATCCCAGGGACAGGTGTCTGGAATTAATTGGCTGACCAGTACTGGTGTCCATTAAAAAAATCCTTCTAAACTGATAACTATGTACTTTCATGACAAGCACCTGTCTTCCCAGATAGTTTGTTGGTAAACACATGTTCTTTTCAGAGAGCTCTTTGTCAGGTCAATGAAAGGACATGTGAACGGAAATAACCTGCAAAATAGCATTGTGAAACTGAGAGCTAACTTCTACTTGAACTAAGAAAGGCTCATAAAGAAATAGAGATAAAGTATATGGCTTTGTCAAAATGCAAGCAAGCATCAGCATAGAGTTTGGGCATAGAAGAAAATTGGGACACACCATATCTCCTTGCAATACTGTAGTCTTCTGTATATGACAGTTCAACATCACAGGACTAATGCTTCCATCTGGAAGTCTTACTTGACATCCTGGACTCAGAAAAATGTAGTGGCAAGTTTTGTTTCTTACTCTCCAGTGGATGGACATGCTTACACACATGCGTAGTTTTGCTTTCGGGATGTGGTTCATTAATGACTTGCTCTACAAACTAGGCAGGTGTTATGTTCCATATGCAGCCATCTAGACAAAGTGGGTTGCCACCTTTCTCATAAAAGTAAAACATTTGAAGTAAGCAGTGTGCCTTTTGTTATGGCAGATTTTATGTGGAGGCGGTTTTTTAAATATTATTATAGGGGCTTTTAAGGAGAGAAGATGCAGTGAATTTTTACATACTTGTTTAGATGTGTGTTGCATCTCCTGTGTGACTTTCAGTCTGTGAAGGCTGTGCCATCTGGAGGTAAGCGTAGATGGTAGCTTTTGCCCTTGTCCTAACTTGGTCTACAGGTGCAGCAGTGTCTTACATATAAGTGAGTTGACCATGTTGTCTGTGAAGGGAACTGAAAAGATGTTTTGAAGGACATCATTGGGATAGCACTATGAGCTGCTTTAGTTACCCAGAACCCACCCTGTTGTTTCTATATGCATTGCCCTATCCTTACTTCTACTTTTTGGCCATGCTGGAGTGTGATTCTAGCTTGAATATGTACAGTATGTGCTGCTATATAGCAATTGATAAATAGATGTTGTTTAAAGCTGAGCATTTTTGGAAGATTGCATCTTTTTTCCTTTTCATTACAGAGGCTGTTGTTCCAAAAAAACTTTAATTCTCAGCAACTAGTCCATATTACTGTCATCAACCTGTTTCAATTGCATCACTTGCGAGACTTCAGCAATGAGACTGAACAGCACAGTTACAGCCAGGATGAACAGCTCTGCTGGACACAGTTGCTGGCACTCTTCAGTAAGTACTAGTTATCTCAGTGAACAACCATGCAGGAATTTTCTTTTTCCTCACTAATGATGCTGACTATTTTTCATTTGATGTTTCTGAAATTCTTCCCTGGTGGCAAGGATAGTTTTCCTCTCCTCGGCTAACCCCTACAATAACAAGACTGAGGGGTCCTGTTAATATTGGGAGGGAGGGTTTGAACACAGAGCCCACTCTTTCCATCCCTTTTGGAAGCATCAGTACAGACAATCATCTGTTCTCCAGCAGCTGGATGTGTATATGGAGGCAGGTGTATCCTGCAGAAAAATTGGGAGGATTATAGGGGTTTTGAGCTGGAGAGTTGTCCAGGTTTTATTGCAAAAAGTTCAAAAACTAGACTACAATCCCCCTTTGAGAATCTTAGGGTTTGTCCATAATTGTTTAGAGCCTTCAGCCTAAACTAGAACCATTGGAAATTATAAGACAGTGACTAAAATCCTGTTACTCAGTATAGTGTGTCACTACGAGAGTAGGCCCATTGAATTAATGGACATTATGGAGGAGTTGTGGTGGCGCTGTGGGCTAAACCACAGAAGCCTGTGCTGCAGGGTCAGAAGACCAGCAGTCGTAAGATCGAATCCACACAATGGAGTAAGCTCCCGTCGCTTTGTCCCAGCTCCTTGCCAACCTAGCAGTTCGAAAGCATGTAAATGCGAGTAGATAAATAGGTACCATCTCAGGAAGGTAAAACAGCATTCCCTATTCACGCTGGCCACGTGACAATGGAAGTTGTCTTCGGACAGGCGCTGACTCTATGGCTTTAAAAGCAGGATGAGTGCCGCCCCCTAGAGTCAGACACGATTGGAGTAAAAATGTCAAGGGGAACCTTTACCTTTACCTATGGAGGAGTTGACTCACCATTCTCACTGATTCAGTGGACTTAGTCTATCTGTGACTTACTATGCTAAGCAACAGGATTTTAGCCAATATTATGATTATGAGGGCAAATCACAGGTCACCTTAGACCTCTCAGAGTAAAATGATTTTGAAAAAATTCTTCCAAAGGGAAGATGTTTGCTCAGGAAAGAGTGGTTCCCATACAAATCAGAAGCTTCCTTGCAGATTATCTTCTTCGCTGAGTAACTGAGACATGTACCTCCTATCTATAATAACATTATTCAGTCACATTGAATATAAAATGATTGCAATTCTCCCACTGAATCTAATGGCAGGATAGTTTACAGTAATGCCACTTTCAGTGTACCTGACTTACATGGCTCTCATTCAGTGGCAGCAATGCAATAATACCAATATAAGAGAGGAAAGTTGGAGTATCACAGGTATAGAAATTGTTTCATGACACAGTTCTGTTTGCATTTATTTATTTATTTTATTTGATTTGATTTGATTTGTATCCCGCCCTATACAATTAATAGACCGCTCTGAGCGGCTTCCAATAAAAAGGAACATATACAATAAATAATAATAATATTACAAATAGACAGACATATATAAGAATATAGGGAATAATAAATAAAGAAGAAAATTAGATATTGACAGGAGGGAAGGCCTGGACATACAACAATCAGTGTGAATCATGTGAGGTGGACTGGAATCCTACCATCATTGTATCTCCTCCTCCTACAATGGGAAAGAAACATAAGGAGCTGGATGCCTGCTGTGGGTATGTAGGCTCCCTGTGCATTTTACACTGCAGAATTTAGGGGCTTCTCTGTCATGCATACTTCGCACCTTCCTCTTCTATCACATAGCAGTATAAAAAGACAGGAGTGAAGTTCACAGGTGCAGTCTGACTCTCATGTGAGTTGCTTCCTATAACATCAGTATCTTGTTTTCTACCAAAAATGACACGGTGTCTCCAGCTTTGGCCATGTAATTGCTGTCTCTTCTCTGTTTTAGTGTTCTCCATAGTGGTTAATTTTTATTTTACAAGTGCTTTTTATATTTTGTTAAACTAAGGGGGTCTAACAAGACTTACTTCTTTGCCCCTCAAGAGACCTTCCTAGCCAAATGCTAGCATAGCCATTCAGTGTGGAAGTATTTATTTTATTTTATTTTATTTTATTTTATTTATATCCCACCCATCTGGTCTGGTCGACCGCTCTGGGCGGCTTCCAGTAAGGTGTATACGATAAAACATAAGAATTTTACAAACAGTCCATAACACATACAATAATAAAACAAATAATAAATGAAAGAAAAAATAAAGAAAGAATTAAATATTGACAGGAGGGAAGGCCTGAACATACAACCATGTTTTTAGTTGACTCTTAAAAGTATGTAATATCTCTGTTCTTCCTAGTGTCTTTTCTTGGAATCTTGTGCAAGTGTCCACTCCAGAATGATTTCCAGGAAGAGTCTTGGGGCTCTTATCCCCTTCCTGCACTTAAAGTCTCAATGGACTGGCTGAAACTGAGACCCAGTGTATTTCAGGAGTCTGCGGTAGATGAAAGACAATAGTGAGTCTTCAGCAATTTTATCTGTTTTCCTGCTGTTTAGTTGAAGTTAAGGTACTAATAAAGAATTTGTGGTAAATGTTGGTTGTTTGAAAGAGTGCTGACTAGGCAGTTCCTGGTACAAAATTTGTCTCTGCTGTGATTTCCCATGGTAGTTTTAAGACATGCTACCATCTCTTATCTGCAGCCTTATATCTGCAACACTGTCCTGCCCTGTAAGTTTGATGTAATGATCACTAGACACAATGAAGCTGTTTTGTCACTTTAAAATGCTGGATAAATGGTAATTATTCATGGTTGAAGCTTAGTTGTGTATTCTGCTAAATCAGGGATGGGTATCACATGGCAATGCTGATGTAATTCTGGAGCAAACCATAAAAACCCGCTTACAGATTAGCCTTTTTCTGCTTGATTTAATCCCAAAAAGAATTTTCCCTCTATGGGGGAGGAGCTGGAGTTGTTGGTGAGTTCTGGTGGGAACCTTTAACCCCTGGGCCTATGATGTTGCCTGCTCCTTCACCCGTGGCAGACATGTTAGTGGTTTAAATATTTCTTTAAAGTTGGGATTTTTGGATTTTTTAAACAGCAGCAGTCAGAAGTCTGCTGGAATTGCCCTAGTTAGAGATCTGTGGGGCAACTTACATGTTTGATTTAACTTGCAGCAGATGCATAAGTAAGAAAAGATTCCTCCACTTCTGAGTTCTAAGACAAAGGAACTGGCTGAATGGGGCTAAGCCCTGTGGTTCTGGAAAGCATCCCTGAGAAGCAGCCTGTAAAGAGGAGGGAGTCTGCAATACCCTTAATGCTCTGCAGGGCCACAGAGCTTAGCAGTGTCGAGCCCATTAATTTGCCTTGGAATGCCAAAATTAAGGAATCGTTTCTAGTTATATCAAGTACCTAAGATGTTTGGGGTGGGGAGAGGAGCTCCAGGAATACTAGCTGGGGCAGTTCCAGTCGTCATCTAGGTTTTGTAGTTAAAAAAAAATACAAAATTTCCATCCTTAGTTGTCTTTAGCTGCTTAGACCAGAGCTCATACAAGATTTCTGCTTCTAACAGCACATTAATGGCTGTCTATGATGTTTTCTAGACCCAGCATCCGCTTTCAGATTCTTTCAACAGGTTAAATGGCCCGGCTAATACAAAAAATGAAGAATGTTCTACTTCTTGTATCCCAAGTGCAATAACCTTTTTTCATCTCTACTTGCTTCCTAAAATTTAATCTTTTTTTCTTGGGTAGCCCCTAAAGTCATTACATTGTTTAGCTTCTCTTAAAGAGAAGCTGATTTTCGTCTAGTTCAGGAGAGCAGTAGCTTCATATTACTGTAGTTTCAAAATGTTTTTCTTTAGCAAGTTACCTGAACATAAATGGGATATATTCCATATGTGTAGATGGTTGTCATCTGTACAGAAACTGTTTTATTTATGTTGTGCCCTGCTGTTCTTCCAAGGAATTCAGGGTGGCATGAATAGCTTCCTCAGGAGTTGCCCAGCTAGGCACTGACCAGCTTCAGACGAGCTTAGCTTCAGCGTGGCTGGGCATCACGTCCCTTCAGCTTACATAGTGGGATGAGATGTGTTTCCAGCCACACAAACTTCAAGCTGTTTGATTATAGGGAAGCAGAACTAAGCGGTCTTTATTCAACAAGTACACATTGAATATTATACTTGGATTGGGCTTATGCCCATCAGCATTCTCTGGCCCAGACCATGCAATTGCTACATGCATTAAAGCTGAAGATCACCGACATTGTTTATGAACTGTCCTTCACTGCATTTCGCCTCTCTGCAGCCACAAGCTCATCTATACCAGGTTTATATGCTGCAGTAGTAGTATCTTAGCTGAATATGTAGAAGCTATTTCCATCAGCAAAATCTCTCTGAAGATTTTCTGACTGGCTGTACAGGTATCTGCTAATCTATATACTTAGAGATGTGAAAATTAAGAGAAATAAAGCAGTGTTCTAAAAGCCAGATGATTGCATTTCAGTTAAACATACTTATTTCACTGTGTGAGTCTGAAACTTGACTTAAAGATCATGTACAGTGGTGCCCTGCATAGCGACGTTAATCCGTTCCAGGATTAACATCGCTATCCGGATTCGTCGCTATGCGGAGGGGGAACCCCATAGGGGGTCCGTTTAATGCGTTCCTATGGGGGAAAAACTCATTGATAAGCAAAGATTCCCCCATCCGGTCACCATGGTAATCGAGGGCAGGGCGCGAAAACGCTGTGGGTGGCCATTTTGCTGAGCCGGCAGCCATTTTGGAACCGCCGATCAGCTGTTTTGCAAACATCGCAATGCGAAGATCAGTAAGCGAAACACTTACCGATCATCGCAATGCGATTTTTGGCCATTGAGAACGTCGCAATGCGATCACATTAGTGATCGCAAAAAAGGCGTCGCTATGCAGATTCCAGATTCGTCGTTAAATGGTGTGCTCGTTAAGTGAGGCACTACTGTATTAGGTTAAGTGACATCTTGTGATATGCTATGCATTGCGTGTAATTAACCACCACCTCCAAATTATGGGCTTTGTTTTCTTTGTGGATGTTTTCTAATAAGCTGCCTTCCTCAATTATAGCAATTAAGTTTTCTATGTTTGCTTCAGTTCTGGTAGTAATTGTTAATACGGATGCTTAGAAGTTAAAATAAGACACCAGCGACTATTATAATGTGTTCCAAATTAATATGTGGCTGTATTGATAACGGCAGCTTGTCCTGAGCAGAATCAGAGAACTGCTTTTTTAAAATGTTCTTCGTCATTGTTGACATGAGGCAAAGTACACAAAAGTATAAGAGGAGAAAAGGTAAAAGGGAACTGAGATTTTTGGTACTAGTGTAAAGTTCCCAGGCATGCTGCATGAATGTTACTGGAAGCTGTACTGCTCCTGTCTGGAACTATAATGTCACCTAAAGTAATTAATTGATTAATTTATTATGGACTGTTGAGTTAATCCTAAGTTATGACAGTCCTCCCAGGGCTTTCTAGAAATAAAGTACTCAGAAGTGGTTTACTTGTCCTTCTTTCTGATGATGCTGTGCATAAGGCTGCATAGATAGATGGGCATGTAACCTCTTCAGCCACATGGATCAATCAATCTCACCTGGCCCTTCTCCTATGAGCCACTATGGAGACTTCTGGCCTCTAACTGCACAACCAGGTGCTTCAACCTACTGAGTTTTGCTACTCATTTTCTTAAAGTTCCTCCACCCCTTTAAATGGATCTGCTTCTTAGATCCAACCTATCATATTGCAGAATTTTGCAGAATTTTGGCTATCTAAAAAATCTCAATAATTAGGGACTTTAGAACAGGATCAACTTTGTTTTAAATACTGTTTTAGTGATTTAAGCTGCTTAGGGTCCTTTTGGGGAGAACGACACCATAGAAATATTTTAAATAAATAAATAAACTTCTGTCATTTCACTTCCACAAATAATCTGTTGTGTGGACCAGTCGGTGTTCAAGAAGCTTGTGTAAACAGGTGTCTAATACTTCCTTAGGCAAGCAGAAGTGTCATTTCCTTGAATTAGCACTTTCTGCTCACACAGTGGGAACTCATGCAAGCATGCCGAAGCAGCATTTCATTCTCCTGGCATTAAACAGGGTATTGGCCATAGACCATAATTAGAGATAGGCACGAATTGAAAAAATGGCACTTCATCACAATTTGTAATTCATAAAGGTCGACAAATCATGAATTTATTATTTTTTTCTGATGAATCAAATGGTCAATTCATCTTTACTTTAAAATGCTATAAAACAGCCCCCCAGGCACCTAGAGACACCACATTTGCAGGGAAGCTTCCTCTGACACTCTACAAGTCCTGCATGTTTGGTGAAGTTTGGGTTTCTGATGTCCGAATTATACATCCACAAAGTGGGTCCCCTCAGGAAAGTGTCAGAGGCAGCTGGCATAGTTTACCACCAGGCACAGAGGCAGAGAAGAGACATACTTTAGTTTGCCACAAAGCACAGAGGCTTTTGGCATTCAGGTAGTTTGGTTTGTTCCCAGGCACTGAGGCATTGGGCACTGAAGCAGGGTTTGCTTCCAGGCACTGAGGTGTTTAGCAATGAAGTAGGGTTTTGGCCTGAGAAGGCCTGAAAGAGGTGTTAAAGCAGGCATGTGGTACCGTGAACCTCAGGGGCTCAAGGATTTGGCATTGAGTTAGGGTTTACCTTTAACGTTTGGTATTGATGCCTCGACTTACGAACGTCCCTACTTATGAACTTTTTGACTTACGAACAGCTTCGCTCACAAAATTTTGCTTCAAGTTGCGAGCGGAGCTTCCACTTACAAACACAAAAAAAGGCAAGGGAAAAAGGCGGGAAATTCAAATTCATAGAGGCACCGGCCAAAGAAGCCGGGAACCTGGTGGCAGGAGACAAAGGGAGCCTCAAAGCCTGGCCGAAGTGAACGGGGCCGGGACTGGAGACCTGGCTGGGGCAGATCCGGGCGGCTGGGTGCCTACTCTGGAGCTGCCTTCCATTTGGGGGGGGGGCAGACTTCCGGTTCCCGCTCAGCCCCCTCCGGGTGAGGGGTTCCCAGCCAAGGGCAACGGCCCAGGCGCCTCTTTCAGATGGACTCCGCCCGCCCGCCCACCTGCCACCTCCTCCTGCTGTGGCTTCCCTCCAGCCAGATAAGTGGGGAACTGGGTGTCATGAGAAAAAGGGAGCCTCAAAGGCTGGCCGAAGTGAACGGGACCTTTTGCCTGCCTGCTGCCTCCTGCTCTTCTGGAGCCTCAGCCTTCCCTCGGGCAGCAGCGCTCACCCAGCTAGGAAGCGCTTGCCTCCCACCTCCTGCTCCTCCGGAGCCCCAGCAACCTGTCTGGAAGAGGCACCTGGGCCATTGCCCTTGGCCGGGAACCCCTCACCTGTACGGGGCTGAGCAGGAACCGGGAGTCTGCCACCCTGAAGGGAGGGCAGCTCTGGAGTAGGCACCTGTCTGCCTGGATCCGCCCTGGCCAGGTCTCTGGCCACATTCACTTTGGCCAGGCTCT